CCATTAATAATTCATGATTGATTGTGTCAAATGCTTTTTTAGGTCAATAAATATCCCCATCGTGTATTTCTTCTCATCCATAGCACTTGTAATGTCCTCCATCAGGTCGGCAATGGCCAAAGATGTCAATCGGTTTGACCTAAAACCGTATTGGCAATCAGAGAGGATTTTATTTTTTCAATGAATGTATCTAATCTGTTATTAAAGAGTTTTTCCAGAATTTTTGAAAACTGTGACAACAGAGGAACCGGTCTATAATTTGTGAAGTTGTGCTTATCACCAGATTTATACAGTGGAATAACCTTTGCTATTTTCATATTATTGGGGAACTGCCCAAGTCGAAACGACATGTTAAAAATATGGGTTAATGGTTTGCATATCCCCTCAATTACCCATTTAACAGTTGTCATAGTGATACCATCACTATCACTAGATGTTTTGTTACCACATTTATTCACTATCTCTATAATTTCCTTTTCAACTATGGGCTTCAGAAACATAGAACACATATTCCTTTCAATTGTATTGTTATTTATAGTGACGGATGTATCATCTGTACAAATGCTTCTTGCTAAACCAGGACCAACATTCACAAAGAACCTATTAAACTTATCTACTACATCCTCCAATCTATTAACTGGTGTATCATTATCCATAAAATATTGAGGGTAGTTACTCATGCTGGAACTGTTTCTAATCAATTTATTTAATATATTCCAAGTACCTCTCATGTTATTTATATTATCCTCTAATACCTTAGCGTAATATTGTTTCTGATATATGGCTGGATTGTGCAGCAGTCCCAGGTGTTATAGTCAAAGGTGTGGTGCCACCAAGACCCTCAGGTCCTCATCAGTTGAACTGTTAATAATCACACCAGGGATTAGTGCCTTTAATGAAGGGCTCCTTCAGTTTTAGCTGTGTCTGTCTCTAGCTCAGTCACTCAGAGACTAAGCTTGTGTATTACAGATTGTATCTAAACCAGTTACACATAAAGGTAGTAAAACTGGAGTGAGCAGGATGCCGGCTCTGGGTAGCAGGTTGATCAGTGTCATAGTGTTAAAGCTGTATCCCATTTGAAAATTGTTTTTCCTCTGCAAATTCATAATTATTGTTGAAATTGATACTAATTATTTGTGCAGGAGAAAACCAGTGTTACAAGTTCACTCCAGTTCTTGGTATGCGTTCTACACAGTGATGCTTAACCTGTGTAAACTGAGGCCACACCTTTCTGTCTTGGTACAGAGTTCAAATGACATGGTTACATTTGTCTCAGAAGTGAAACCTACAGATGTTAAGACGTCTTATTATATATGCTGCTGTGTGTATTTGGATTTTATTAGTCCAGTGTTAAATGTTCTATTTATCTTTTTATTTTTTTATTTTTTTTTACTTTAAATGAATATGCTCAGTTTGATACCTGAGAATTATGTTTACTGAACATAATCAGCCTATTAAGACAAAGTAGGCAACTGTAATATATGCTATGGGTATCCTATCAAATACCCTGTGGAGTGCACTGTGTATCAAGTATTGTCTGCTTCATGATGCCATGTCAAGGGATTGTATTAAAAGCCAGTTTCTTGTTTTGTTTCCTCAGACACATTGCTTCCATCCTGTCTATTTTCAAACTGCTGGTGATTGGGCTGGTTATTGTTGGCAAGGACCCATTCGCCCTCTTTGGTATGCAAGCCCCAGGTATCTGGGAGTGGGGTCAGGCTAATAAGGTAAGATTTCCTGGAACTGTAGGAATCATTAGAGCTATGATCCACTAGGAGGGTGCCGTTTTATTTCACATATTCCACCCCACGAGGGGTGGACTCATGGTTGTTAAAGTATGATGCAGCTGAGCATTTGATTTGAGGGTCATGGCCACAAATAACACACAAGAACAAACTTTGAAGGAACGTGAGCTTCAGTCTGGCTGTTTCTCTAGTACAGTTGTGTACATACACACTGCCAAGTGCAACTCAAACCCTTGGGATTTCATTAGCGTTTTATTCAGGGTCTTCAGGCTGTTATCTCCAGGGTACGTGACATGCTTAGGGCTCAGAGGGAGAAGGGCCAGCGACTGTTAATATCAGATAGTTGCAAATAAACTGTCTTGCACTGTCAGCCATTTTATGTTTTAACATAAAACTAAGGCTGATAAAGTTTAGTGTGGTTTCTGGCAGCTAAACAGATGACTAACAAAAATGTTGCGATTGCACAGAGAACAGATGCATTTGACATGGACTTGTTTAGCTAGTAAATCATTATTAATATTTTTCATCTAAGCCAGAGTTTGACTGACAACAGAGCTGGTCTGAGGGAAAATACCTTTGTTTGTACATTTAAAGTTGGAGTAAGTTGATTTTGGTTTTAGTTATATTTGGTAAAAATCTCTTTATATCCTGACGGCTATAGAATGAATCAAATGCCTTGAGAAAAGAAATCTTGTCTCACTGACTGATCCTGGCCCTCTAATTTGCTACTCCATAATCTCAGGGCGCCCTAATTTCATCAAATAGTAAGGAGAGCCTTGTGTGAAAAGGTGTCCCTACATCACACATGTTCAGGTCAGTCAGCAAATATGGGCTCAGAAGAGGCAACAAGAACCAGAATGAATTACAAAAATCCAAACACAGGTCAGTAGGTCGACCAGTGCTTGGTAGGTGAAGCTTTGCTGCTACGTGTCAGATCTGTGTTGAGAAACATGTTTGATATGTCCATAATAAGTAGAATCCATTTTCTTTAGGGCAATATCTGTATGTAAGACAAAAGTAAAATAATAATGCAGAAGCATTTATGCCTGCTGATGTATCACTTGAGCTTCAGTAGCTGTGAAACTGAGCAAGCTGCACCCTGCATTAAAAACATATTACACAGTGATCGCTCCCTTAATGGCTGATCCTGTTAAAAAAAAATTTTGTGAGTGATTGTTGAACTGTCTCTGAGTGAACACATTGCAAGAACAAAATAAGCATAACGGCCAGTTTAAAAAAAAAAAAAAAGCTGAGAAATAGTATTTTTTCTGTCAGACCTTTTAACTCAAATTTCTGTCACATTTTCCAGATTTATGCCTGCATGATGGTGTTCTTCTTCAGCAATATGATTGAAAACCAGTTAATGTCTACAGGAGCTTTTGAAATCACATTAAATGGTGAGTCTGTAATTCAGAGAATGGCTTGTTGGCAGATTTTTGGCTTGAGATTGATTTCACTTGGCTTTGATTTATACAAACAGTTCTAAAAAATGACATTTATTTCTGTAGTTGAAACATTTTCAACAGCCTTTAGTGCCATTTCATATAATTATCAGATTGCATTGAGCAAGATTAAAGATTGTTTTTGTCATAATGATAAATGCATTTGTCTGGAGATGGAACGCACTGCAGAGAGTTGCAGTAAATCGAATGTTGTGCTGCCGTAGATGTGCCCGTCTGGTCAAAACTGGAATCAGGTCAGCTGCCTTCCATGCAGCAGCTTGTGCAGATCCTGGACAACGAGATGAAGATGAATGTTCACATGAACACAAGACCACATCATCACTCATAACCCTGCTCTCCAATCCCTGGCTGGAGCTAAAAAGCCCCTCCATGTAAGGACAGGAGTGCTCATGGCACTGGTTTCACCAAACATGTTCTACCTCTTTCCAGTCTGATGTTTTTTTCTTACTTGTGAATATTGGCCAGTGGAAATGTCCGTGCTTCGTAATTTGATCTGCCCTCGCTCTCATTGTGTCTAGGTTTGAGGTGGGTTTCTCATGAGGCTGTGAAGTGATGTTTATGAAGGTCTGCGCTGAAGGCAGGAAGACTGCTAGCACAGACTGGATGCTCTCATCACTCTTCACCATGCCCCTTTGAGAGGTCCTGCCCCTGACTCCAGAGTGGGATCCATGGCTACAGAGCCGGACCTTCAGTTGTTTTCTTGTACTATTCGTACTACTGCAGATATCATCCAGGTGACATCAGTGGTCTCATTAGCAGAGATTTAACCTTTGATTCTTAACTTGTTGCATATAATTGATATGTGTAAAAAACAAAGTTATTTGTACCGTTGAGCCATATGTAGAATTTTAAGTTTATTGTCCTAAAAGTAGTTTAGCCATGTAGAAAATACAACACTTCAAAACATGTTGTGAAAATAACATTGGAGAATCATGTCTTGGTATGATTTCTGAATAATTTTTATATTGACATAACTTGGAGAAAGCTAAGACAATTAATAAAACTTAACTATTTAACTGTGAATCAGTGTGTGCTGTTCACTGGCTGAGGTGGTGGAATGCCATAATCATATCCTACATGTGAGAAAATCATTTTAGAAGACTGCAATGAAGAAGATAATTTGACAGTGCTCATCAGTTTGTCACTTTAGTTAAATATTTTATCAAAGTAAACCTGAGAGGAATACTAGAGAATCTGCTGAATGGCTTGGAGTTCAAAGCAGATGTATGCTGGTTGTTCAAGTCAGCCATCTGTTCAACCTAATGTTATTAGGAAGACTTGAGCCTCTACAGTGATTCAATTAGATGAGGCAAAACAGATTAGACATGAGTATGAAGTAAGACCAAGACACAGTCAGGGTACAGTGCTGCAGCACCTTGTTGAATGTGGGATATTCCTGACACTGAATAAGGACACAATCCTTCGAGAGCTCTAATTGTAACTAAATGCAATTTGGCACATACAAACTGCTGTAGGAGCTGAAAGAGCAAACAGTGATCCAGACTTGGGGTGGAGAATTTTGATGAGGAAAATATTAACCTTGCAACGTTTGCACTTTCACATGTGGTAACAAAGAGATGATTGCTTTATATCTTCTTTATCAGTGTACATCAAAAAGAAAGGCACTTTTGGATAAATGCTCTTTCAGTGTCACTCATCACCACATGAGTACTGACTTCCAGAAGCCGTTGGGCAACAACACGGAGGTGAGGGGCTTGTGCAATGTTAAGCGGCCGGGGATTGGAAGGTGTCATCAGGCACCGGTGAAGAGTCTGAATAGTCAGCTGGATCCTGGTCCTGGCTACCAACAGAAACAGCTCCTCCTTTAAAACCGATGGTCCTGAAGCAGGCTGAGCTGTTTTAGACTCACCCTAAAAAAAGATTATTTTTCACTGAAGCAAATACTGTAACCGTGCATCAAAAGTAGACAATTTGATTTTATTTAACCACAAAACCCATTTGACGTAATGCTACTAAGGGGAACAAATTCAAGAGATATAAGACTCAGAATGGGACGTTTAAACTACAAATCTCTGCAGAAACTTTAAAAAAAAAAAAAAAAAAAAAAAAAAAAAACTACACCCGCAGAACTGGAGGTTCTGCCAACTGCCAAATGACCATGTGCTTGGAAAAAATAAACCATAAGTGCTAGTGAATGCCTCTGCAAGTGCTTGGGGTCTGTTATTTCTGTTTGCAGGATTATGTTGATTAAACATAGTGCTTCACTCTTACCTGAGGACAACAAGCACCCACACTGAACTTTGCCTGTTGGCCCCCTGCCAGGAAAGAGAGAAACACTCGTTCCTTTTCTAGGATTCGGACACCAACAGTTTTGTTGAGGGACAGGAAGACGGGTTGCAGAGGGGTGCGGGTTAAACTCTGATTGCTCCAGCACCACCGACGAATCCTCGTACCCACCTCATCAAAACATTGACCACCTGATCTGTTTAAGTGTATCCTGTAACATGAACACAGATGCACTGTAGATGAGCTGCAGCCATAAAACAAGGGGTCAATTTAAATGATGACCTTAATAACAATTAGCAAATTTATTACAAATACAATTATATAAATTCAGGTAATGAAATGTTAAATATAAGCACGTTGTTTCATACCATATGTGTCCATTGCTGTGATAACATGTTGCCCTGCCATCACACTGGAACACAGCTCTAACCATGATAAGGATGGGAGCACCCACTGTAGAGGATATGTTGTATTGTGCATCCTATCTAAAACACCTGTTATATCTGCTAACTTACTTTTAAATTGTGTGTTGCTTTCTCATTTTCATCTGAAAATCTCTTCACGTCATAACGATCTACAAACATTCAATCTGAGTGGATACAAGACCTGAGCA